CTGATGCAACCTGTAGGGCCTCCCTGGCCTCCTGACTCCACCTGGTTTTCATTCTAATGCAAACACAGAGTTGACATTTATGATTGTTAAATGCCACCCTTTCACTTTGCAGCTGTCAGAGTCACTTTGAATCTTTATCCTGACATCCATTGGATCATATAGCCTCTCAGATATATGTCTCAGCCCTGTGGGACTAAGGAGCTCATTGGTGTTTGCTCCATGTGGAGGGGCACTACATGAGAGAACCTGGGACCCTGATTCTTACCCACCCCCAGGGTTTTCTGCCCACCTGCCCTAGAAACCCTGTACACTGGCTACTGAGGGCTAGCCTTGTCATCTTATCTGGAGCCACTGGCCTTGGCTATGTCCACATGAAATCTTGAACAGGTGTGGAAGCTAGCTATCCCGCCTTCCTCAGACAGCATTTGGGACAGAGTTTGCAAAATTTGCCTTTGGGACACTCTGTTCCCTTCATTGATCTGGCTAGCCCTAATCTGCTGCTCTGAGGAATGGCTGGGCATTCTAGTGGGACCCGTCCTATGCTGTGCTCTCCAATCTGCTGTTCCCTGGATCTGGCTGTGTCCTCTGGGAAGATTGCATCTCTCTCAGAGAACAGGAAATGGCTGGAGTAGATGGACATCCATGGGTATGTGGCCTTCATTGTTCCTCCTGCCTGTGGCCACCAGGATCCCTGAGATTCAGGAAGTCAGAGGGCTGAATGTGGCTCTGGGAATCTTTGTGTAGATGTGTCCACTATGACCTTGGCCTTGTTGCAACATTGGTGCCATCCTGGTGTATGATATAACCCAAGAGAAGTGGCTTATAGACCCAGGAGGAAGAGGACAGGGTGGGCCTGGCTTGAATGCCTAGAGAAAGTGTAGCCATTGACTCCCATAGATCCATGTTATCACTGGGCCCCATTCAGTGTTGGGCTGACATCTGAACCCAACCTGTGCAATGCAGGACAAGACCCAGAGCACAGCCTATGTGGTATGGAACCAATGCTGGAATTCCAGCATATTGGGGTGGGGGGTCAGATTCTGATAGGTCACTGTACATTGTCAGCTTTTGCCTTAAGGAAGTTGCAGGATGTGATTCAGTTATCAGCACTCAGTAGGGCAGAGAACATGTGTGTTTATCATATGACTGTGCCAAGACCTAATCCCAGTGCTAAGATGCCAGGCAGAGCTGACATCTGAGCAAGCATTGAGGCATGCCAATGGCCACTATCTCTGCTTGCTGTTGAAGGGCATGAGTGAGCTATGGCCCATGGCCTAGCCCTGCAGAAATCCCCTGCACCTGAAGACCAGGAACTGAAAGCTCCAGGCATTCAAAAGTCAAGTGTGCTCATCTCCCATGCTAAAAGGGACATACTCCTGCATGGGGCTTCCCAGAGACCCTGAGCTCAGAGACCACAGGGGGCAAATAGGACAGGCTGGGCCCAAGTGGAGGATGACCTGTTCTCAGGATGCTTTCATAAAGAGATAGCTGGGGTCCTGATTATCCATTGCCCCTGCTGCAGATGACTCAGGTCTATAGCTCTAACCTGACTCTGTAAATCACAACTCCACTGAGCTCAGATTCTCCATCTACCCACTGTGTGGTGATGAGTTGGTGATCTTTCTTAGACAGTACAGACACAGAGAGAAGTGGTGTAATTGAGATGATGTCTATCTATCAAACACTGGGGTAGTGGTATCACTCTGGAATTCCCATGCAGGCCAGTGTGAAAGTGGCTGGTGGTATCCTATGGTCAGCCATAATCTCAGAACAGTGGAAGATCACATTGCCTATATGGAAGGGTGATTTAGGAACATATTAAGTGAGGTCAGCTGGTCATGGAAGGGATTTCTTATCACAGTTACATGCACTTGAGTGCAGACAGAGCCCAAAAAATTAGGATTGGGCTTATCTTTGTGGGGTGAAAGGACACTTCCTGGTCCTGTGACACTTGCCTAATTATGTTGTTTCTTTCTCCAGTGACAGGACACATCAGAGTTTTGGTATTCACTGTCTCTCCCACACTCCTCCTCTTTGCAGGCTGGTGCATGTACATGGCCTCTTGAACATCCACATGACCTTGAAGCTCCCACTGATAGGGAACTGGAAATGGGGCCTAAGGTGTTGTTGCTGCTGGTCTAGGGCAGACTTCCCAGTGTCCAGGAGCCACCACAGCTGTAAGATGTCATTGACTTGGTAGTATTCCCCCACCTTCAAAACCCTTGTTGAGACAGACCCTAGCTGGATAGCTCTAGACAACTCTTCAGGCCATGCCCAGAGAAGCCATAAGCACTAAGGTGGCCTAGACACTATGAACCTTGGCCAGAGTCACAGTGGGTCAAATTGGGCAGGAATAACAAAGTGGCTGGAGCCAATATGCCAACCCTATTTTAAATAGGAACATGGGGTGGTACCCACGTGGCTGCCCATCCATACATTTCAGTGACAAGCACAAGAAGAAAAGCACTTCTTTCTCATGTGCTGCAGAGCTTGCTATCTGCATCCTGCCAGTTTGTCCTTCTGTTCCCTTCAGGCCTGGTGCTCTGGTTCTGGGACCAGTGCTATAGCTGATTGGTTCTTCTGGGTGCTCCTCCTGTCCTGCCCATCTCCTCACTTGTCAGTGCATCAATTTGCTTGTGTGCACTTCTTAACAACAGCATGTAATTTAGGGTGTAGTAGGGTAGAATGAGTCAAAACTTGCAGCTTCAGGAAGGCAGCTCTAGCTGGGGCCTTGCATTCTGCTTGAGAAGGCATAGGCATTTGCATGAGGGGCAGCTCAGAGTCCTCAGGGATAGCCACCCCATCCTTCCTATGAATGTGTCTAATCCATTCTTCCAACATGAACTTGGCACACAGGAACTGTCATCATCCTGCATGGATATGAGCCGCTGAATGTAGTCGCTTTGGACAGCTCCTCCCAGTCCTGTCTTGCCAAAGAGGCCTAGCCTTTGGAGGTACCCCCTATGGCCCTGATCACATCCAAACAGGGTGTGCTCCAGGCTCGTGGTGGCCTGGCATTGCTGGATTGTTGTTGATGAGCCATCCTGCCCACACTTCCTGCTAATGGGTGTGATACCCGCAGAAACAAGGCTTTGGGTTAGGCTGGAGAACACAAGCAGCAAGGCTGATACAGCACAGAAGCTAGTAGCCTGGAGAAAGGGTGTTTACTGGAAGTAGCAAAAAGGATCCTTGTGGTAAGAAGGACACTCTGATTTGATGAAGTGCTGCTGAGAAGCCGTGAGAGGTACCTACCAACCTGGTTGCAAACCAGATGGTCACTCTTGTGTGTGCCTGACCCACTTTCTTCTTAGGGTCTGCCTGTGTGCCCCTGTGTTGTTTCTTGCTGACATCTGTATGGCACTCATCCAGGTGGGTGGGATTCTCACATCTAGCACATCTAGCATCTCTTTGATATTCCTTGTAGCCAGAAGGAACTCTCAAAGGAGGTATGCCATGTGCCGGGAGGTTTCCTGGTGCCCACAGAGGGCAGCAAGTAGTAGGTACTTACTGTGTGCTGAGGGGATGGAAGAGCCTGGTGATGAGTGAGTGACATATCCCAGGTTTTCTGTGAATTGATCCTAATGAGGTTGTGAAGCTGCATGATGGAGGAGCCTTGGACTCACCATGCTGGGATGAATGTAGCATCACCAGCCAGGCTGAAGGATGCCCTCTTTCCTCTTACAAGGTGGCCAGTTTTTCATTTTTATGGTCCACTGTGAGCACCATGCTATCTTTAATGGATAGCGTTGCTCTTTAGTGCTTACTGGTATTGGCAATGCAGTGACAATTTAAACTATAGGGGTTTATTTACCACTGGGATTCCCTCTCCTGAGGTGAGGTTGGGGCTCTGGAGAAGCATGTCCCTTCTAGGGTCAGTACAGGGCCTGTGTGCAGCGGAGTGTACCTAATTTACCTGTGTATCTACACCACACAGAACAATACCCAGAACATGTGTAGCTGAGTGTACCTAATGTGCCTGTGTGTCTGCATGGAAACTTACATGTAGCCTGTGTTCACCTGAGTACAGCAGAGCATACCTTGTGTACCTGTGTATTTATACAGGAACATACATAAAGCATGCATCTAACTGAGTGGTCCCAATGTTTCACACATGCTTGCATTGGGATATCATTGTAGCCTATGCACTCCTGAATACAGATGAGTACACCCATGTGAAACTGTGTGACTACATGGGCACACATGTTAGACTGTGTGCATATAAATCTAATCCTTGGAGCTTGTGTGTGCACATGGACACATCTGTATAATCTTTGTGATTCTGGGGGTAGGTGTACATGTGGGAACTTGTATTTACCTTTGTATATGGCATCCCTGCAAGTCTGTGCCCATATGGAATGCATGTTCTTACATGAATATCCCCTGTATAGTTTTCCCCATATCTGCCAGCCAGTGATGTGGCTCGTAACATCTCTGCTGTATGTCTATGTGTACCTCTTATGTCTGTCCATGTGCATTAGCATGCCCAGGCCTTCAGGAATATATAACTTAGTCACTGACCCTCCTGGCTTCTGTACACAGGTGGGGATATTTTTTCCTTGCAATATGGTAACCTATACACTGTTGGTTATCCCATTTTGTGGCTTCAAGATAGCACATCCTGCAAGTAGTGCGCTGACATATTAGGATGGAGGTTGTATTGTAGGGCTTGGCTTGATTTGGGAACCCTGTAATCTGGGCAGGATTTGTGTTTGTTTGTTTTGTTTTTCTATGAAATCAAAGTTCATGGAGGATAGCGAGGCAGCACCTTCCTCTGTAATTCTGAGGTTTCATTTCCGTGTGTGGTAGAACTGGCCACATTTAATTTCCTGTCCATTGGGATAGGCTGACTGGAATCCCTGGCAAAGTATACAGAAGATGGGTAGCCAGCTGTCACAGAGAGCTCTCTCCTCATCTCTTTGGCTGGTGGGTGACTGGGTGGGCTTCAGGGTGTGAGTCTCTAGGGTGTAGCCAATCAGCTTGTGGTTATTCCTTCTTTTCAGGTCAACTGGCCGCTGGAACCTGTGAGATTGTGACCCTCGACCGGGACAGCAGCCAGCCACGGAGGACGATTGCCCGGCAGACAGCACGCTGCGCATGCAGAAAGGGGCAGATTGCAGGCACCACGCGAGCCCGGCCTGCGTGTGTGGACGGTAAGAGCTCCCAGCCTTCTAGTGGCACTTCAGGATACTGAGTCCAGTTTTTGAGGGTTTCTGTGTGAGCAGGCATCACCCTGAAGGAGCTTTCTTCAGAATGCTCTGAGGCTAAGGCCTCTGGACAGTGTTTCAACGGGCTAGCATATCTGGTGTGATTGTATCCATGGGGAGCATGTTCAGTGCACATGGTGGTGGACACTGGCTTTATGATTCTAGGTATCAAAACCCAGAAGTCTCCAAGCAGAGTTCTCAGCCCACAAAGATACTCATTATAAAAAGCCAGGCCACATCGGTGTGATCATTGTTCCTCAAAGCCAGGAAGGTGATTGAGAACGGGATCAGCAGAACTGGGGGATGGTCAGAACAGGGATGATACCATCCTGAGTTAGATCTCAGGTGGTGTCCACTGTGAATCTCAGAGCTGGCTGGGTACCTGGCCAGGCTCTAGTTTGCCTAAGACTAAGGCAAGAAGTTCAGACCTTGGATTCCCTGTATAGCTTGGAGGTTCAGGGTTAGCTTTGCTCTTACTGGAGTCCTGCTCTCCCCTGGAGACCCAAGAGTATATATAGTAAAGAAGCATCATAAACTTACTGAAGCCTGACCTCTCTTAGCATCTTCCATAGACTCCCACGGCCATGGGTATCCAACTCCTGCTGCCGACTTGGAAGGGCTTGAAGACTGCTTATAGCACTCAGTAAAGTACAGAGTGAGTCTGAACATGCTGACAGAGTCAGAGGGTGCCAGAGCAACCATAAATTGCTTGGTCCATAGCTAACCCTATATACAGCTAGTGGGGGTCTAAGGACTGAGTTTTGTGCACCCTAATTTCCAAGGTGCCATCAGCTTGATCCTTGTGGGTAGAATGGAAGCAACCTCTTGGTAACATAAATTGATTTTTCTGGGACCAGGTTGGGTCAGTGTGGAGCTCAGAGCCACAGCATTTTCTCTTCTCTTGCTCACTCCATCAGCCCGGGGAGATGGGGTCTGGACTGATGCTAATTGAATCTGAATCTGCCCATCTGAAACCAAATTCCCATCCCTTCCCCCCAAGCAGCATGCTAGTGCCTTAGGAGCTGGGTCTCAGATACTCAAATTAAAACCTCACCATTTTCAAGGGAGGCCAAACAAATTAGTTTGCTTGAGTTTTTTGCACAGTGGGCATTTTTTTGGCTGCCCTCTAATTTAATTTTTGCTTTTCTGTTTTCTTGCTCTGTGTGCATAATAAGTTTCCTTTTATGTCATTTTGTCTGCTGAAGATAGTTTGGGCTATGGTGGCCCAGCTGACATTGTGCACCAGTGATATTTAGCCTGGTGTGGTCTATGCTGACTCTGAATTCAGGAGCAAAAATGGTAGCTCATGGCTCCTGGTAGGTGGTCACATGTTGTCTTGCTGGCTGAGTTTGTAACTGTTGATAAATTTTCTTCATTCATTTATTCATTCATTCATTCATTCATATAAATGAGGTGTATCCTGTGTAGGCAGGTATAAAGGAGATTAAATATCAATGAATGTGATACATAGCCTCCCTAAGTGCCCCCACACACACACACACAGTGCTATGAGCACTAGGGTACCTCACCTGGGCAAGGATGCTTCCCTGGAGGAGTATTTGGATCTTGAGCAAAGAAGAGATCACCAGTGTAGATCCTTTCTGTGCAAAGAGGGAGCTGATGGTGAGACTGACTTCATAGGCCTTAAGTCTTCCCTGGCCTTGAGTCTAAACTGAAACATTTTGCAGAAACCAGTTTCTGGCATTATGACCCAGTGTACCAGCAGGCATTGATCCACCTTGCAGAATTCATAATAAAAGAGAGCTGAAAGCAGTCTGGTCACCTGCCTCAGGGCTTCCCATTCTAACTCAAATATCAACAAGCAGTCCTAACCTTAGGGCTATGCTTTGTGGGCTACTGAACTAGCCCTGGCAGCACTGGCTGTGTTTGTTGTGGCTCAGTGTCATCCCACATGGTCCTGCCCCCTTCACAGTGCTACCTTGCAGACTCAGACCCTTGCTGGGCTCTCACCAGAAAACTGTACACTCTCTTTCTGGCCAAAGCAAAGAGGGGCTGCCTCCTTGCCCTGTGCTGAGTTCTCATGAGGGTAGTTCGGAAAGAAATCCAAATAAAATAACATGGCTTTTAGGTGTCAGTGGGCAGAGGATGAAGACAAATTTGATTGCTTTGGAGGAGAAATGCTCAGGGTACTGAAGTTCATTGAAAGGCAGTGACCATGGGAATCCCATCCAGACCCAAGGAGGCTGTCCTGAAAGCCTTGCAAGCTGGGGTGAGGTTGCAAGCAGTCTCAGCTTGAGGAGAGTTCCCTCAACTACAGAGAGGTGCTCCATAGTTGTCTTATCTCTCTTCTATGTGGGCCAATGTCATCCCCCTCAGGAGGTTTTCAAGTTCCCTGCATGGCTGATGTTGATGACTCTTGTCACTTGCCTAGGTTAATGTGCTGTAAGCTCATGGAAACTGAGAGATACTTAGGAGATACTACCTTCCTAGCACAGCCGTCATGCCTGAAGATAAGCCTGGTCCAGATGGAACTAAGGTCTCTCTCTGCATCAGGACCTGCTCAGCTCTGGCCAGCTGTGACTGGCAACTGGGAAGGAGGTGATATGAGGAGAGTCTCGGTTCCTTGGATATGAACTTTCACCGGGACCACCAAGAGAGAATCTTGACAGGAACTTAGTCTAGTGATTTGTTCAACTTCAGTTGCAGCCACAGGGTTTGATGGCCACAGCTTTGATAGCCTGTATGTTTCCTTGCAGTTCAGCACTACAATACAGGTCACTTAGAGACTATGTACTTTAGATCCTTTCAGATCTTACCATTCTCAGTGTAAGAAACATGGCACAGCAACCCAGTGGCTGTCTGATATTTGTGCTCCACCTTAGAACTTGGTGTGCCTCCTGAGTGTGCCCACTGCCCGGGCCCTGCCCGGCTCTGTGGAGCCCTGGTCTGGGGGAAGGAAAAGAAGCCACAGAGTGCAGAGGGCCTTTGCTTGTGTCATCAGAAAGCAGCTCAAGGTGCTGGGACATTGCTGCCTTTCTGTGCACCGAGGGAGGTAGGCTGTGGTACTGCTGAGCAAGTGTGGGGCTGAGTGTGCTTAATTTTCAACATGGTGACTCCAAACATGGTTGCCTGGCAACCACGGAGGAAAGGACAGGCAGGCAGTCTCCTTACTCAAATCCCTTTATTTCATGAAAGAACAGGGTCCCTGTGTCATCCAGCTGTGTCTTTTCTCAGATCTCCCCAGGACAAAGTGTCACACCATTGGCTTGTTGGTGGCAGTGGGATGGGATTGGAGACACAGCTCCATATTGCCTCCTATAGTGTTCCTAGACCTCCACTCAGGAAAAGCCAGCATTCCTGACTCTGTTGCAGAGAATTTCAGGGAAGGCAGTTTGAGGCAGAGTTGGAGTTCATTAAGAATGCATGCCTTTAATCCCAGCACTTGGGAGGAAGAGGCAAGCAGATCTCTGGTTCAAGGCCAGCCTGGTCTACAAAGTGAGTTCCAAGACAGGTAGAGCTGTTACACAGAGAAACCCTGTCTCAAAAACAAAGAAACAAACAGAAAGAACAGGTTTGACTTAGATTTAGTGAGGAGAATTAATTGAATAGAATGCAAGTAAGGAAGGGTAAGATACCCAAGTGTGGGTGTGGGTGTTGCAAGAAAGGGTGACAGAAAGATGTTTAATTGTCTTTTCAGTAGCCACACAGACAGTTACATCACAAAAGGTGGCTAAGGAGTGTAAATAAGGCCATTGGGAAGTTTCTCCCTTGGACAGCTGGCAACACCCTTTATCACAAGGGCTGCTGCAAGATAAACAGAATTTATCTTATTTCTGACTGTTTCAGAAAATAAATCTGGGGAAAAGAGTAAGGTCATTTTCAGGTTCATACAAGCTTAGGCTTCACACATGATTCTTTGATATTTTAACATTTTTATTTGGATATATATCTATATTCATATAGATATAAGGTCATATATATGACAGATCATATTATATGAAATACATATATATGAAAGATCATATATATGAAATTCATACATATATGAAGAATCATAAATATATATATATGCATATATATGAATGAAACATTTAGAAGGAGACCAAACTGAACAACTCTGGGCATATGAGTGCCATGCTTTATTAAAAATATATTAGAATCAAAAAAGAAGGAATATTCTCTCTATGCTGGCAACCTTCACAGCAAATGTTAGTTGTATTGGAAGTCTGCATTCTTAGCTGGCATGAAACTTCAGCCAAACTCTGGGGTGAGAAATGCGTTTTCTCTCTGATTCAGAGGTCAGCAAGGCCACGTCCAACCTTGTCTGTGCAGCATCAGTCAAGGCCTCTCAGAAGCTAAGAGTGCTACATTCTAACATGGGTCAAACACCCTCTTCCAAAACCTTGACTAACAGCATGAATCTATTGATCAGAATGCAGTTCTCATGACAGAACCTCCATGGCTTGACATGGTATTGGGGTTTTCAGTGTGAACACTGGGGGAGCAGTTTCAAGATAATGGCCTTTTGGAAAAGTGCAAATTCTTAGTGCAATCATACAGCAGGCAAGGCCCCAGATTATTTCTGGGTTATGGGCAAAGAAGCACCAGAATGCTTTTTTGTGAAGCCTTCCTGCAGCCTGGCATCCCCTTTGTGTCTTGGCATCATTGTCTCCCTGCAGCCTAGATCCTCACCGAGGTTCTTCAGCTGGCTTACCTAACTTTTGAGAACCACAGGTGAAATTTTCAGGTTTGCAAGTTGACAGGTACACACAGCCTGTATTATTATGTATATGAACTAATCCATAATTAAGTGATCCAAACAAAGGTAGCCTTCTGTCCATGCTAGGAAGACAACAGCAGGTCAGGTCCAAATTAAGCAGAAGAAAGCAAGCATGAGAGGTGTGGGTGAAAGTAGCAAACTAGACAAAGAATGAAGTTGGCTAACCTGAAGTTGGTAAATAGATGGAAATAAGGTATGGGGTAGG